GCAATCTAGTGAGCCTCAAGTACATAAGTATTATATTCTTATACAAGAAGACAGTGATATACGAAGGATTTAGTGTACTCCCAACTTACTTTGTTTTTGTCCCTATTGGCCAAAATCACAAAATCTTCAGAGATCTCATGCTGAGCACTATTATTTTCTACTTCATTTAGCTTTAAAATTCTGAAAAGGGAAAAAAACATTATAAGAACCTAAAACCTAAATACGCCATCAAAGTGCCAATATTAAACTACTGAAATGAGTTCAAGAAACTAAAATTAGTTCTCCCTTTTCTGATTAGTCCGCAATATGAATGTTAAATTACTTAATTATCCATAAAATCCTTCAAACTCAAGAGTGTTGTAAACAGGAAGACTGCTATTGAAGTAACAAAATATCTTGCCCAGCCCCTTATCATCTTTCAAGCTAGCTTAATGAAAAATGTTCTGAAGAATCTCATCCCTGACAAACTGTAACAGGACTAAAAAATGTTCTGAAGAATCTCACCCCTGACAACCTGTAACAGGACCTTAATTTGTCAGCTTTGACAACGACATTATAGTAGATATCTGAATATTTATTTCTAAACATAGGATAAAAGATATCAATGAAAACTTAGAAATAAGATCAGTTGATTAGGCAACTAAACCTAAGAGTTCCCATGATAAACTAATACTGTAAAACTGCAACTGACTTTATACTTTTTTTTAGCTTTATATTTCAAATTTGAGTTTTTCTGAGTGCAAATGGCCTTGTGGATCAAGCTTACTAAGGAAGAGAAAATAAAAAAATTTGCCTACCACCCACACAAATCTGTTCAACAGAATTAACAAGCTTCAAAAGCACAATGTTCTCAAGTTTAAAGTCTCAGCACAGGCAAAGAGAACAGCAGGGAAAAACAGCTACTGTGGCCAGGAAAGTTTGAGGCCATACAGTTTGCCAGAGACAAAGAAATCAGATAATTTAAATTACTAAACTAGTTATCTTAATTAGTGCCAATACTTAAAGGCCTATCATTTAAAACCTGGCAAAAGGTCACACACACTTAGTGTACTTAATTTCTTAAAGTGATACTAATATTAAAAGGTGAGTGGTCAAAAACATTAAAATTTAGATTTATTAAAGCTGAACCACAGTTTTCAAGACTTTCTGTAAAAGTTCATAATCTTGTTTCATGAAGTCCCTTCATCTTCTTAAAATCAGTCCCTAAAAGATGCAAATTAAAACCACAATGAGATTACCACCTCACCACAGTAAGAATGGCACATCCTAAAGCAACTAGCAACAACAAATGTTGGCTAAGATGTGGAGAAAAAAAGAAACTCTCCTGCACTGCTGGTGGGAATGTAAACTAGCACAAACCACTATGGAAAACTGTTTGGAGGTTCCTCAAACTGCTTAACATGGAGCTTCAATATGATCCAGCAATCCCACTGCTAGGTATCTACCCAAAAGACACAAAAACACTGATTCAAAAAGATACCTGCACCTCCATGTTTACTGCTGCTTTATTTACAATTGGAAAGGCATGGAAACAGCCCAAATGCCCAAAAGTTGATGACTGGATTAAAAAGATGTAGTACATATACACAACCAAAAAAAGATACATATGTCTTTTGCAGCAACATGGATGGAGCTGGAAAAGATCATGCTAAGTAAAATAAGCCAGAAAGAAAAGGAAAAATACCAATGGTTTCACTCATAGCAGGAGTATAAAGGACCAGTCGAGAAAATAATAATAATAATGAACAGCTATATACCAGAGACATTTTGTGGGGGTGGAGTGGAGAATGGGATCAAAAACAGTAAGGGGAGGGAAATGCACTGGACTATGGTGATGGCACATGGGTGACTGGGTGATTTGGTGATGGGAAGCCCATGGGGATTACAACTGAGATGAAAAAATGCACAAAATGATGTAAAAATAAACTATTATAATATTTAAAAAAAAATCTCTCTAGAAAATTGACTAATTATCTGGAAGTATAAGGAGAAAAAGGTTAAACATTGTCCTTATTCAACAAATACTGAGCACCTACTCTGCTAAGTATTATACTCAAAACCAGGGTTATAGGTGTCAGCAAAACAGACTCTTTCCCTGGTATTTTGGGGGAGTTTATGACTCCAAAACTAGGCTTTTAAAGAGATAATCACACAAATATTTAAATTTGCTCTACATGGTATAGAGGAAGATTACATGGTGCAATGAAAATAAGGGAGCTAATGTAATCAAATCATGACTATCAGCGAAGGACTATGAAAAAGTGACATTTAAATTAAGATATTCAATGTGAATAGAAGTTAGGCAGAACAAGCAGGGAACCTAGATCCCTAAAGAGAGTGAACAAATCCTCAGCTTTATGAAAAGAGAGCATGACTGAAATAAACTGAGTGTGAGGAGGTCTTCCAGATCATACTAAATATGTTGTCCTTACATTAAGAACAGAAAGCCATAAAAATTTAAAGCAGAATTCACTTGGCTATTTTTGTGTTTGCTCATATTTCCTAAAAATCACTGTGGATGATGAGAAGAAAACAGACTTAAGGAGTGCAAAAGTAAACCCTACTCCTACAACTTGGCTATCACTACAGTCGAGGATAGTGATGACAACAGCCTAAGTAAGATGGCGACAGGGACCAAGGGCAGCAATAGAGAGATTTAAGAATTTAGTAACAGAATAAACTGGATTAACAAGTTTATGAGTTTGTGTGTATATTTAAGGGAGAAAAAGAGAGAATTAATATATCTGAGTATTAAGTATATGTATATTGATATAAAACAAAAAGATGCCAGGAACGATTCCAGATTTTCTGGCATGAATTTACGTGAGAGGTTTGGGCTAGGATAAAACTTCTGGAGTTCTGGTCAAGAAAATAAATAGGAAAATGTGAAAAAGGCATTAAGCATGTAAAGAGCTTAACTTGGGCAGAGAGGAAGAACACAAAAGGACACTAAGAAAGATCAAAGAAGTCAAATGAAGAGTGTTTCACGAGAGAAGAGATCAAGTGTGTGGAAGATGTGGGTAAATAAAGTAAAATTACATGCTATTTTCCTTTTGGTAAGATTGTTTTTCAGAACAAAGACAAATAATCTCCCTCATTAGTTCTGGAGAATTAATTAAGGTTGATGAGGTCAAGTCAATCTGTAATCACCTTTCAAAAAATATCCATCCAAGAGTTTATACAAGAATAATATTTATGAACAGTAATGATGAGACTCAAAGATTAAAGTTAAGTTTTCTGGATGCCAGACTCAGAAGTGCACCCTACAACAAGCTAATTATTCACACAATTAGCTCAGTAGTTAGCAGGAGAAAGTAAAGATGCCATTAAGTGCTACCTAAAGTTACTTTAAAGAACTTTAAAGCAACTAATTAAAATACTCACTTGATCTGATTTGGGCCAACATGTATTATTCTACCAGAAGCATCAGGATGGAAATAGATCCAATCAGATTCTAGAGAACAACATTCCATTTCTTGGATCCCATTTTTCGCCTGAAATTGGGAAAAAATATTGAAAATAAAGGTTAAGGAAAAATATAGTAATTTTTTTCAAAACTAACATTAGTGTAGATCAGTATAACTCTAATGAAGGTAGAGAGAAGAGGAAATATTGACCAGCTGAACAGGGATGTTATAAAGGCTGAGTTAGAATACTTAATACAGATGTTTCAGTGATGTACCATATGCCATGCTTTATACCTCGCAAATAATAATGTAACAAAAACCGTATCTCAAGTACCTATTTGTGTCAGACACAGCATTTGATATTTTTAATCCTTACATTTAATCTTAACATTCAAAGCATTTATTGTTATCCCTGTTTTATGAATGAGTAAGCTGATAAAGAGGACTGATCAATCATTTGCTCAGTATTTTGTACCAACTAAACATCAGATCTGACTCCAAAGTTCATAGACTTTCCATTACATAGCTCTGCCATAATTATGCAAATGTAGTCCTCCGCACAACCTCTTCCTCCCTTGCCATTCCCAATAAACTGATAATCTTGTGTGGGTCACACAAAAACAAACAACAAAACATGAAACCAAATGTAAAATATCAGAGAAAACTCAATCTCCTTGGATATGTCAGATATCAAACTGTAAAGTTGAGGAAATGGTATCATTCTGCCAAGTGCAGTATTTTATTTCACAGGATATTTAAATATTAAACAGTTATTTTAGATATTACTATCTTAGATATTAATATATTAAAATAAAGAAACAGATATCTCTATGATATGTGATCACATATGCACACAATTATTTCTTATAAACAGGAGCACTGGAAACTATATAATACCAGCATGGATATATTCCTCACTAGCTTTATCCAAGTCACTGAGTTTTTTTACTTTCTCCAATATAAAATGAACCTTAACTATGAGATATTCATAAAAGTTTTTGGAATATTAGCTTATTAATTTTACCTGCATATACTGACAGGTCACTAAGTTATAAGCATCACATTATGTGATATATGACATATCACAGATATATGAAATATATATATGACATATATGAAATATAATTTTTGCCAACAAGTAAGCTCACAGACAAGAGAGGCAGAAATATAAACAGAAAATAATAAGAGTGGGGAAAAAATCAAACCATGCACAAGATATTATCAAGCATCCAATGTAGGTGAGCAAAATTTCAGAAAGGAAAAACATTTGAAATTAAACTGAAAGATGAAAAAGGGCCCTCCCTGGTGGCGCAACGGGTTAGGACGCAGCACTGCAAGCTAGCCACGGATGCTTCAGTGCAAGCTCAATCCCCAGCTCCGGAGGTGATACACATGGCACAGCAGACCTCTCCTGTCTCGCCCGCTGCCCCTCTCAGCAGTGTACTTCGTCAGTCTGCCAGTTTTGCTCCCCACTCTGTCACTTCTCACTGCCCCTGCACCTCTGGCCTGTATCCAAGTTTTGTATGCATAAATAAATAAATAGATCTTTAAAAAAAATGAATAAAAAATTTACTCTATGTAGATTAGTGAATGAATTTTAATATTTCAAAAATTTTTTAAAAGTATCCTAATATCTGTTAGGAATAGTGGTATAGCATTTTACATGTAAGAAAATAAATGCAATTAGACACCTTGTTGGTCTGCGATTACTATGTCCATGATGACCTTAGCTTCAGATATTACTGTTAATATAAAACATGTGCATAGTACACCTGTCTTTATTTAGGAGACAGTTTCTTTAATTATGAAATCTAAATACAAAAGTTAAAAAAAATACCTTTTTGGTGTGAAATATTAGGCAATATTATTACCAGCTTCTGTGCTTTTTATTATCTGTTCAGAAGTTAGACTTTTAAAAAAGATTTATTTATTTATTTATGCATACAGAACTGGGGTACAGGCCAGAGGTGCAGGGGAGGTGAGAGGATTCACCAGAGTCAGAGTGGGGAGCAGAACAGGCCGACTGGCGAAGTATACTGCTGAGGGGAGCAGCGGGAGAGTCAGGAGAGGTCTGCCGGGCCATGTGAGTCACCTTTCCTGGCTGGGAATTGAACTCAAGCTGAAGTGGCTTTAGTGCTGCTTTAACTGGCTATACCACCAAGGAGGGCCCTTATAAATTAGATTTTAAAGTATAGTTTAATTGAAAGCTATATAAGGCATTTTTTGAATCTTCAATTTGGCTGCTTACATGTTTTTGAATTATCAAGTTTTCTGACTGAAAGGAGGGGAGGTAATGAGCATGTACATCATTAGGGTCGTGTCACTGAAATAAAGACATCTGGCAAAAAGATTAAAACTTCCCCTGGAGTTGGTAGTTACTTATGAGTATGTTGAAATACAGATTTGACTAAATGTTATAATCAGTTATAATAGAAGAATATTGATAGGCATGCTTGATAGAGATATTGAAGGTCATTTTAGACACAGATAGAGACCCACTATACACACAAACCCAGGAAAGAATATATACTATTAGTTCTTATATAAGAAAAATATGTACCAAATGCCTAGAATGTAAACTATTCAGGGTTTAAATGACTGGAAAAGTTAAATGAAAAAAGAAACATGTCCCAGTAGCTGAAGGATTCCACTGGCTGAAAGGTAAACATCAAACAAGACTTGACAGTGGCAAACAGTCCCCAGAAAGTCCTTTAAAAATGATAATGTCGGGCCCTCCCTGGTGGCGCAGCGGGTTAAAGCACAGCACTGAGAATCTGAAGCCACTTCCGCATGAGTTCGATTCCCGCCTGCCGCCTGCCCCGGAGGAGACCACATGGCATGGCAGACCTCTCCTGACCTGCCCGCTGCTCCCCTCAGCAGTGTACTTCGTCGATCTGCCTGTTCTGCTCCCCACTCTGTCTCTGGTGAAGTCTCTCGCCGCTCCTGAACATCTGGCCTATACCCCAGTTCTGTATGCACAAATAAATAAATCTTAAAAAAAAAAAAGATAATGTCTCTAGAGTGGGCCATACAGGACCTTTAACCTGTCATATACAAATCAGAAAAAGGAAAGAAACAATGTTCCTTTAAAAGAAGGCTAGAAGAGGGCCCTCCCTGGTGGCGCATCGGGTTTAAAGCACTGCACTAAGAAACTTAAGCCACTTCCGCATGAGTTCCATCCCCGCCTGCCCGGGAGGAGATCCACATGGCATGGCAGACCTCTCCTGACCTGCCCGCTGCTCCCCTCAGCAGTATATTTCGTCAATCTGCCTGTTCTGCTTCCCACTCTGTCCCTGGTGAATCCTCTCACCCTCCGCATCTCTGGCCTGTACCCCAGTTCTGTATGAATAAATAAATAAATCTTTAAAAAAAAAAAAGAAGGCTAGAAGACTTGACACAAAGTTTCCCCTGGGGGCCATGACATTGTGGGGAATAGGTAAAAGGACCTAAGACTGTTCTCTCCAGCATAGTGACAGATGATCTGAGACTCTAAAAGACACCATATTCAAAATTTATTGAACAAGATTCTGGAAGAGATGAGTATGTAATTAAGTTGCATCTGCCTCCAGAAAGTAAGTTTTATATGATCAAGGTTCAGAAGTAAACAAAACTAAATAAATAAATCAGCAATACCAAACAGAACTCCCCTCCTCTTTACATTCATGCTTTTGTACTTCTATCATGGTGCTCTTTACCCGATTGCATCTTATTTATTTATATCTTTGCTTTCTTCTGAGAGAACAAGTAACTTGAATGAAGGAAATGTTTTCCCAGCCCATATCTGGCCATTGATATTATTAAGTAGTAAATCAATGCCAAAATTATTTTCAAAAAGAAAATGAAAAATTAATTCGAGTTAGAAACTTCTTTTGCCTTATTATGTATCATTTCTCTTTATCCTGCCATAATAAACAAGAATATCCTTAAAAGTTTAGAGTGCTTCAGACTTATACAGTAACCATCAGAGTTCTGTCTAGTTCTGCTCTGCAAAGCAAATAGTAACAAACCATGATGAAGTAAAACCAACAACATAGTCCCAGCTATTTCAGAGGCAGTCTTAACATATCCATCAAGTATTCCCACTATAGAGCTTTAGAAACATTTTGTATCAGACCCCTTCCTGGGATTTTGTTAAGGAAAAAAACTAAGAAATTTTTGGTGCCCTAAGAATGTTCAAAGTTTGAGCTTTTTAAATTCTGGGTAGAACAAATAGTGTTTATTATATTCTTCTGTACTATACACTACCCACAAATTATTAGTACAAAAAAAATTTTAGGGAAGTAGACCTATTAGAAAAATTAAAAATTTCTGATTTAAATTTACTACTAAAAATTGATCATTCATGATGTACCAAGGAATTATCTTTCAGGGCACAAATATGGAAAACTCCTTTCTGTTTCTTCTTATTAGGTGTGATGATGTAGTGCCAGGGATGGCCTCCAATCTGAAAAGCATTTTCCAGAGAAGACACCTCAAAGAGTAGTGGTGGTGTGTCTGTAGAGATGAACAAAAGGAATTTATTAGCTTCTTTGTTTTGAAACATTCACTAATTGAATTCAGTCTTTCTTTGTATGCATCATCTATGAATTTCCATTATGAAAAGCCACTATATTCAAGGAAATAAAATACAATCAGAAAAGAGACTTACTACGAATAAAAGTCAGCTTCCTAGATGCTAGTAGTTAAGGCATGTATGACCTGAAGCTGAGTGGGGAGAAAAAATGAGCTGAATGTGTTTAAGATGGTAAGAAGTGGCAGAATACTCCCAACAAAAGGATCCTTTATAAGAATTGGTAACTATATGTAATCCAGTATCCTTTACCAATGTAAAGGATACTGGATTACATATAGTTACCAATTCTTATAAAATTTCTACAAGTTAACTAAGTATATTAATTCTGTCAAATATGAAGAGTTCTTCCATATTCTAGACTAACAGTTAACAAACTCCGTCTTAAGATATCTAGTGTGGAAGTGCTATTAGACATAATGAATGTACTCATTAGGGCAGTGGAAACTATTAAAGGAAAACCTTTATTGCTAGTACTGTCATGAGATAAGTCAATTTTCAGGTAGTATAGATAAAATGAGCAAGTTACTGTATCTTGCAAATTGACACAATAAAGTCTGTTGGTGTTTTCACTCTTCTTTGATGGCAGTTTTAGTAAGAGTGCAATAGATTTACTCCTAGTGAAATGCATTAAGTGGAAAGTACTATACTTTTAGAACATGGGAATTCCTTTTGGGTAGCCCTTAGGAAACAAGGTCTGTTTGGAAAGTGACTAAGCTCTGAGCCTTTTGCATACCCCTCTAACTTCAGAATTTAATTTTTGTTTCTGAGGTCACCACCATTAGTCTTACAGAAATCAGTCACTTCTGTTATATATATATATAGAAGTCCTCTTCAGGAGGACAATTTACTAGAGCTACACTTAGAAAATCAGGAAAAGTGAGTTCACAAATTGATAGTTTTGAGGATAAAAAGAATATGCAAATATATTTAATTTTTTAAACTTTAAGAAAACTGTTGATAGTTTTTAATTAAAAAAACTAAAAATTCCAACAGAAAAATTAGGGGAGGTGATTATGAAATACAAACATCTTTTGTGGTTAAGATGGTGATCCCCAAATGAGAGTGCAAAAGGAAAAGAATTACAGAAAGAAAACATACAATTAGAGCTTGAATTTGGAATTAAAAATTTAAGTATGCTGCAGAGAATATAGGAATTAAATATCACATACACACAAATCAATGCAAAATGATATATTTAAAAGGAAATACTTTTCCCAGCAGTTGCTAAAAACAGCCCAAAATTAGCAGCTGGTCTCTGCTCATCTACTATTTTGATGGGTCCCTGATAACCCCAACAGCCCAAATTGTTATCTCTAATATTATTCTCAATTAAAAATATCAAGTTCCAAGAAAATAGCTGACTTTATGTTCTGTGGTAAGGAAACTTGGATAGGTTTCATCATTCTGTTGTTAAGCAAGGACATATACAAGGATATCAGGGTAGTGTTTTTTAAAAGAGTTAAAGACAGCCAGCAAAGGGGATTTCACTGGCTAGACTGTGAAAAGCAGCATTAAAGAGAAAATAATAACACAGGATCTTTGTAGTGCTTTGAGTCTGTGGAAGGTCAAACAATAATACTTCATTGGAGAGTTTAACATCAAGAATACAAAATAATTGTTGAATTACTTATAAAGAATGGCTATAACGGGGGATATGATTTATACATTTCTTCTATGAAAATGTTTAAAAGTTTAGATGTGTTAGATAAAAATACAACATATATTTTTGGTATAAGAAACATTTAAAGGCTACACACACACATGCTTATTTTTATAAAAAGAAACAAGAGAATGAACCTAGAAACTGAAAACAATAGTTACCTTGGAGTAAGGTGGTTTAGAAGGAGGGAAGTAACAGAATGGAAATACTGAGCATGGAATTAAAAAAATCGCAGAATATATATTTTTTTATATAACTGACATATACATTTCACAACTAAAAGAGAAAACCAAACGTTGAAAACAAATGAACTTAATTATACAAAATAGTAGCCTAATTATATAGAATGCTTTCAAATAACCTTTGACTATATTACTTTAACAGTACACTTTCTGGACTGTCCACTAAGGATATACAAGGAACTGAAGAGAATTCTTGACCTTTTCTCCATACTTTACTTTTCAGCAATAACACTGATAGGCAATTTTAAGACTATTGTATATACTATATATTATAGAATGAAGTCTTATTAAGAATCAAGAAATTCAATGTAAGCCAAAAAACATACAACTATAAAATCAAACAGTTAAATTTAGAAATACGGAATTGAGCTAATATTCATTTTATGCATTTTTCAGTTCAGGTCATGGAAAGGGCCTAAATGTAGAGATCTGATTGTAATTAGTGAAACTGTTCTTGGGCTCCACTGTGGGTTTAACTGTGTCCCTCAAAAAGATATGTTTAAATGCTAACCTCCAGTATCTGTGAACATAGCTGTTTTTGGAAACAGGGTCTTTCAGCTTCATTAAGATGGACTGCATTGGTAAGGGTGGGCCCTAAATTCAATGATTGGGGTCCTTATAAAATGCCAGATTTGAAGATACAGAGGGAGAGAGAACATGTGAAGAGAGAGGTAAGAGATTGTGTTCATGTTGCCATGGCAAGGAAGCACAATCCAGCAACAACCAGAAACCAGAAGAGGCAAGAAAGGGTCCTTTTCTAGTCTTCAGCTGAAGATTGTTTCTTCCAATAATTTTAGCCTCCAAATCTGTGCAAAACTAAATTTCTGTTTTTAAAGGTATCAAACTTATGGTGCTATAGCAGCCCAAGAAACTAACAGTTAATAAAGATGTTCCCTTTTAAAATGACTCTTTCTTAGATCTATTTAAGACCAGGAAAGTAAAAAAATGGTAAACCTGGACCTGGAGCATATTATTCTAGAAAGCAAGGAAATTCTCCAAGACCACTGAAGCATACCAAATAGAGTTCATTGGCCAAATCTGGGACAATTTAAGCACTATTAAGAATAATGACTATAGGCCCTCCCTGGTGGCACAATGGGTTGGGACATAGCACTGCAAACTGACGGCAGCCCCTTCAGTGCTAATTAGATGCCCCCGCCCTGGAGGTGACCACATGGTGTGGCAGACCTCTCCTGCCCGCTGCTCCCCTCAGCAGTGTAATTCATTGATCTGCCTGTTTTGCTCCCCACTCTGTCACTAGTGAAGCTTCTCACCGCCCCTGTACCTCTGGCCTATACCCCAGTTCTGTATGAATAAATAAATCTTAAGAAAAAAAGAAAGACTATTTTATTTTGCACAAATAAAAATCCATGAATCTATGGATTCATGGATGTATACATGTCCATCTTTTTATCAATAAAAGTTCAATACAAAAAAAATTCTTTACTGTTAACTAATAGGAAAAAACCTGGTCAAACTTATAGTTCATCCATAAAATGACATAAAAGTCATTTTTCTTGTTTCTTTTTATAAAACTAAAAGTCTTAAAAACCTCAAAAAGTTGTGTTCACATAAACAGAACCAAGGAACTTGGCTATGGCAATACAAGTATCCACATTGAAAAAGTATCAGAAGACAAGTAATGAAAACTTCCTTTCTTTTACAGTATCCCTTAAAGGTAATCTATCAGGTTTCTGTGTGTCCTTCTAAATAGTCTAAGCAAAATTAAAGGCTCATATATATAATATATGAATATGAATACTTTACACAAAGGAGGTGTTTTATATATATACAATTTTACACTTGTTCATTGATCTATGCAGTGCAAAAATAATTTTTTAGCAACTAAATTATATTACCAGACAATGAAGTAATACTAATGTATCAATATAGTTTCCAAGCTTAATTTCTCATTTTGCACACTCGTGAATATATCTGAGAACGAGGAGTGTATGTATTTAAAAATTTGATACATATCGACATTTTCTCTAGAAAGAATCCCATTAATAACTGAAGCTTGTTGTCTTTCTGACACTGGAGATTCTGAAAAGATGTATCATAATTTTGTTCATAATTTAATTTCTTTTACCTATCAGTGATACCATGTCTTGCTGTTTGCTGTTTCCTACTTATTTATTTTCTTTTGAACAATATCCTCTGTTCATATTTTTGTGTTGTCACTTTTTCTTTCTGAGTTTTAGAACTCTTTAAATTAGTCTTTAATAGCATGCTTTGCAACTATGTTTCCTGAATATTGATGTTTATTTTTTGAGTTGGTTTATGTTGTGGTGTTTTTATTTATTTATTTTTTGGCCATTTAGAACTTAAATTTTATGTAACCAAACGTATCAATCCTTTTTTAAAAGATGGCTCTGGGTTTTCTGTCATATTTATAAAGGCCTTCCCACTGACATAAGTCTCCCAAGTTTTCCTACAGAACATTAAAATCTTTGGTTCATTTGATGTAAAGTGTGGAATAGGACTCCAACTTTATTGCTCTAACATGACATGAAATAAGTACTACAGATGGAAATTAATAATCATATTAAAATTTAAAAGTGGGTGAGGCCACCCATTTATGGAACACTATGAGCCTCAAAAATAATAAGCTGAAAGAAACTAGACAAGAAAAAATACATACCATGTGATTCCATTTATATGAAACTAAATAATATAAAGACAGCAGATGATTGGTTGCCCAAGGCAGAGAATGGGGAGAGATTAGCTGAGAAGGGCACAGAGGAACATTTTGTAGTGAAGAAAATCTACTAAATTTAAATTGCAATGGGTGCATACATTTGGCAAAATTCAAACTCTACAATTAAAGTGGGTACATTTAAGTGTATGTAAATTATACGTCTGTTGAGTTAATTTTTTAAAAAGTTAAGTATGAAGGAGTATTTACAGCGTAATTTTATTTTGCTTTAGATATGTAGAAATATAAGATTAGATTTAAGATTAGATTTAAAAAACTTTCACAAGTGATAAGTTAACTCTATGCATGAGGATTATAAGTGTTCTAAATTTTCTCTATTGTGTTTATTAATTTTTCCGTAGTGAAAATGAACTGTCTTCCAACCAGCAAAAATTTAGAATTAAAATGAGTATTTTTGCATAGACTTTAATGATTCTGAAAAACAAATCTAAAGAAATGAGTAAGATTTTACTCTCTGCAATCTGGGGCAAAAAAAAGAATAACATGCTATTTTTCTTAGTCAGATGTCCCCAAATCATTGAGTTATACTTTTTTTTTTTTTTTTTTTTTACAAAATAACTGTTTTACAAATCATAATTTCAAACACTGAAGTTGTGAGGGCAGGGTCAGAGAGGATATATTATTTTCCCATCATCACACCAACACTTAGTAATGGAATTTCACAGAACAATATTCTGATCCCAAATCCAGTCTACTTCCTACAAAGAGGAACCCAAATAATACAATCCTTCAAGCTCTATGTGTTCTGTTTTACTCACTTAGTCTCTGTATTTCAACAATAATGCTGCCATTCTGGTAAACTTTTCAGAATAACCCATTCTAATAACCACTGGGGCCTGACTGTAGCTTTAAAAGTAATTCCTGCTAGTGTAGTTGTATTGAATATAGGAAGTATTATTGGGGTTCACTTTTCACAAAACTGCCTACTTCAGCTTGTTTAAGACATTTTAAAACTTGAGTGACTGGAAAAGTATTTTGAACTTCTTGGATAACTAAATTGGCTACGCTGAAATCTTGGTAGCTTTTATACACTTCTTACCAGCAAGAACATCTCTTCTAACAAATCTTTTATTTCTATTTCTTGAACTGTTGATAATACCATGTTAAGTAATCGATTGCGCCACAGAGACAAACTTGATACCATGTTAAATAATAATGATAGAAAAAATTCTTGTCTTACTCTGCTTATATTAGAAAAACCTTTGGAGTTTCACCTAAAATATGGTTTATAGTTAGAAATAAAAGGAAATGTTCTCACCGTAGTAATAAATGACTCTTAGTAAACTAAGAATAAAGATAAACACATATCAGAAAGATAAAAACATGCTCATATAATTTTTGTACCTATTTGAAAATATTAAATAATCCTTGTATTCCAGATGAACTATCTGTCAGGGTTTATTTTCTTGAATATCTACAATTCTTGCTGAATTTGAGTAGTGGTTGATTTTCTTTTTATTAACCTTCTGAATTCAATAAACCAGTAAAGATAGTTTTATTTATAGACTTGTATATACTTACCTATTTTGTTCTTTGTCAGTCTTTAAGTATAGTGGGAAATTCTCTTTGTATTTAAAATTTGTCATTGTTAATTAAGATGGCATAGGTAGTTATAAGTACTTTTCTTAGAAGTGGGTAAATTTTATAGAATTGTAAAATATCGCATTGTAAGGAAGCTAAGATGGTATCATTTGCTATAATTCATCATTGTGTATGTAAGGAAATCAAGAACAGGAAAAGTAAAGTGATTTGCCAAAGGTCAGTGATCTCTGGTCAAGCAAGACTCAGTATCCCCAGGTCAGTTCAAAGAACAACTGTTAAGATTTTGTTGATACCTACTCAGTAGCAAGGAATATGCTATATTGGAATAAAATGAATTGTTTATAATTAAATCATGAAAATACATTTGGATTATTAAAATTAATAACTATTTATATGACCACTTATTTTTTAACATGAAAAAAGTACCATATAGTAGCCATACCTGTGATTTTAATATTACAAGGAATGCCAAAAGGAGCCTCTCCTACAGTTCCAGAAGTCCCACCCCATCTGCATGCACAACCTAAGTCAAGTTTCTGTTGCATGAACTAAAAACAAAACAAAACAGAACAAAAATGGTGGCTTTAGCACCTACTTATTTGCCATCTGAAGAGAAAAAAATCATATTCATATGTATACGACAGAGAAAATGTCTTTAAGGGTCTTTCCATTTATCTTCCCACCCCCTCTATTTGAGGTTACTCTGCCTTTCTAATTTTGCAGATATGTGAAATTGAAATCTATATAAACCCCTTATTCTAAAAGTATCTCATTAAAAAAAATCATACCATTGTCCACATGTGAGGTTTAATTATAATATGGCAAATTTCCTTGTTCACTACCTGTTCAGTGATGGCTTGGAAGCTATAGAGTCTGACCAGTCCTGAGCTGTACATCACAATCAGTATTCCATGAGACAAGGTAGCATCTGTAATGTTCCCGAAAATCTGAGGGGAAAGGTAGATATCACCTGAGAAAAGACCAGAAGGCCAATCCTCTGAGTGTTCACAGTGGTTTATGCATTTGGTTAATATTCAATTCACCACTACAACAGTGTTGCCTAGTAGTATAACTTAATTAAAATTTAGAAACCTGAAATTAAAGCATTATTAGCAGAGAGGGGTTACCCACTGGCATTTTAGACTGGAACAGTAATGGGAATGTAGCACATAACCCTTCAAAATGATGCAATAGTGTTCATTTGTTTCATTCGTTTGCTAGTTTTGCCAGTATCTTAATGACACATACACACAGTCTAATTCTAAATAATGTAATTTATAAAGAAACTTATTAGTTCTAAGAAAGTAATTCTAATGGGAAAACAGCTGACCCAAGAATTGTATCATCACTTTGTTCTTTAAATCCCTAACACTTTGTTCTTTAAAAACCAAACACCTATAGAAGCATTTAGTCTAGATGACATTAAGATTTTGGCTCATTGCTCACTTTCTGCTTCTGTTCTACACACTGGATCCTATCAAGATTCTTCACAGAGCTCTGATAAAGAAGTTGGTTCTGTGCCTTTAATATTTAGCACCAGCTAACACAGACAAAATATTCATAGCAATGAAAGAACTAGAAATTAATTGAAAATCTGCTTCTATTTCTACTCAACACACATTACTTCATGTAGCTTTTTCTCCCAATAAATAGCTTAAAGCACATTCTGAGTCTGGTCCCTGATTCCTACTATACATGTTATGTGAAAGATAGTCCAAAAATCATAATCAAAACTAAATCCCTCACAAGATTTTCTTGGACATGTAAGAATAAATAACAATATATGATTGTGCTAAGAGTTCATTCCTTTTGCAGACTGTAATAAGTATACACAACTACTTAATACACAAACCACAAACAATTAAATTAGTTTTGTCATCTCTTAGAAGGATAATTATGGTTTGCTTTGATCTTAACTAGCTTATGACTTTTTATTCACTGATTCTCATTTGGAGATTATGTAATGTATACTTATTTCAATAATGAGTGATATAATAAAACAGCCATGCTATTTTACAATTTGGTTTATACCTTAGAGTCAAATCTAGGTTCAAATTTCATCTCCTCCATTTACTATCTTTAGGATTTTGATAACTGTTTACCTTCTTCCTTGAGTACATTACATGCTACAATGTTGTAAAACACTCAAAGTGCCTGGCACAAAATAATAAATAATACTATTCTTTAGTGTTAATGCAGTTTAGCATATTATGCTTACATGAGTTAAAACTTTTAAGTACACTCATCTTGTTTGCTAATTAGTATTAGTAGATAATCAATATCTGTCCTCTATAAGACTTTAGATGCTTAATTAGGATTAGTGGGACAGTCCAATATATATTTTCTCCAAATACAACTTTTTAAAGGAAAAATAGATTTACTAACCCTATTACTCAAAGGAAAGTTGTCCTTTCTTTCCTCTCTTATAACTGCCCCACAAATCAAAAATGAGTTGGAAGATTTACATAATTATAAGATTTGTTGATGCAGTATAAAACAAGTTTTAGATCTACATCTTGTAATTAAAATAAGGTTTTTTTTGCAGATTTTCATTGTTTTTAATGATTATTTTAACAAGCTTGGGAAAAGTTTGCTGAAAAAAATACCTTCCTCATTTCATAATTATGTAAAGTAGAGGTTTATTAACTGCAGGTATTTAGCACTACTCATTTGAGAAATGTAATGGCATGCAGAAAGATAAAGGGATAATCAGGTTCTTCCCAAGTCAAATGTTTTCATGTATTTTGATATGAAATAAACTAGGTCAGCAAGCTTTTTACTGTTAGGGGAATACTTCCATACAAAATAACTAGTAAGCAAATAATTAAATTATATTCATCTTATTGTTAAAAATTAACAGTTTAGTTAAATCAGAAATGAGTTCTCACTTTTTTGTTGATCTCCAAAATCCCTATGAGTGAAAAAGGTAGGACATGGAATACTGCAAGGTAGAGCAAAACAGGCTGTTGAATGCCCGCCTAAAGGGAAAGAGCAAAGTTACAGGAAGCTCTCAAGATTATTTCAGAAATACTGTTTTGATGAATTGAAAACATCCATTTATCCACATTGCAAAGTTACTTTAAAGAGCAAGTCATACATGTCTAAAATATGCCCAGTAACTAATAGCCCTTCAGACACAATATAAAAATTTATAAAAGTAAACATTTCTTAAAGTATTTCTTAGCAACAAAACATATTTTACTTACTATACAACAAAAACATTTTATATACTCATTAGCAAAACATATCTATATGCTGTATATTATAAACTAGTACATATTGCATTTAATATATTGTTAATTATTTGTATTGCAAACTGGAATTCTATTACTAATAATGTGAAAGGCACAAAGTTATCATTTAAAAGTAGTGTTAGACTGATATACCTATATGAAATGAGAAAAAACAGTAATGATAAAAACTTGCATGATTTCTCTGCTTGAAAAGAATAGCTCCTTTACTTTGAAGAACAATGTTCTGTCAACCTCTTTCCATTATGGTGTATAAAAATAATGTAGTTTCCTAAAGTGGCTTGAAGGGAATTCCTTAGATTTGGGGGAAACAAATATATATTCAGAAAATATTGGTTCTTTCATGATGTACTTGCAGACAAATTCCTTCAGGAACAGACTCTTTATTTTATTGAATATTTAAAGAGGTCTACCTGCCGGGCCAAAGCTGAGCCTTTGTTCTGAGCTGACTTGACTGCAATGACTTCTTGAGGAGTATCCCAGCTCAAATATCTTTTTAAAGAATAAAGAGATGTTTATTTATTTGGGTCACTTTCTTATATTTAAAACCAACAAAAAATATAGATATTTTGTAAGTAAAGAGTACTTTAGTTACTTAGATCATAAAAACTATTTTAACAACAAATAGGTAAAAGAATTCCCTCTAGATTCTTATATGACTATATTCTTATAAATATTCACTCCATAACTTTCTAATTTATAAAACTAATAAAGTAACAGTTCTTAAACTGTAGTAGGCAGGTAATTTAATTGAAACAGACTAGTCTTCATGAAAATCTTTACTAAAGTGCATCCTACATATAAGATATATTTGTAAATGGGAATTACAGGAAATATTTTTAAAAATTTATCTACCAGCTATTATAGGTTAGTTTCATATAGTTAACTGATGAAAGATACAAGATTATAAAAGGTGTCTATCTTCAGGACTTCAAATAATAGTCATGAGGGGAGAAAAAAGAATGAACTGAGATCTGAGTATACAATGGAAAATGCTTTTTAAAAAGCTTGAAATTTTGTGGGCTACAAGTCTCAAAATTTTTTAATAAAAGCTTGAATAATGAAGCCATAATTAATACCTGAACTTGCAATATGAAGCAAGATATATTTTCTCAAGGATTTCTCCTGTTGTTGTTGATATACGAAGTAGCCAATTATGAGCAGTCAGTGCTATGAGTGAGGACTTATAATCTGATGGATTGGGCAGCATTTCCCCCTAAAAAAATTGAGACGTATAAACAAAACTGCTTACCAAAAAAAAAGATGATGAATAAAACCAAATAAAAGTCAAAATAAAAATGAAGTTGTTTGGCCATGAATAACTTGTAATAGTCAATATCCAAAGAAAACAGCTTAAAGAAATAGTTAGTTTTAAGTTAACCAAATAAGAAATATTAAATGTGCAAACAGTATTAAGATAAGAAAAGATAATGGGTAATTATTTTCATCATAAACTCATTAAGTGAATTTCTATAAAGCACTTAAACAGTATTAAAAATAATTTATTCTTACTTATTATTACCATTAGGCATTCAACAAATGTGAGTCAAAAATTGTAACAAGCAGACAAAGTATTATTAGTGTTAGTCCTTTTGATCATGACAATAACAGTTCTTGAAACCATGTTTGATCACTTAGCAATTAAAAGTCATAGGCTGGACAGACATTTCTTTATTCTGAGCCCTAAGTTTTTCTTTTGATAGAAATAAAGAGGGACAATTACTCATTACTCACTGTAGCACTACTCTATTCATAGTCAAGGCAGTCAGAGAACAAAAGGTGGACCTGGCCACCAACGACATATTCCCACAAAAGGGAGGGAATAGCTGCTTGGGCGTACCTGCCACTGAAGAGCTACCACAAGGTGGAAGTCTCAGGCAGAGACAGAGAAGTAAAAGATTATACTTTGTTTTGTGGAGTAAAAAGGAAGCTCTAAGAGGAAAATTTAGATGAAAATTTAGATGAAATTGATCCCAGTATTTTCTTATATTGTTAATGAACAGAAAAGAATAGAGACATAATTCTTTTATACATGCTCCGAAAGAACTGTCTTCCTTTTCACAAAAAAAGAAACAAAGGTTTTTTGTTTGTTATTTTATTGTGTGTGTGTATATTTTTACATTTATTAATTACTGGAAGTTTTGCACTTAATTTACAAAAGATAAACATTTTATTCGATTAGGTTTCATGCAAGAATCAGTCTCAAGATCTTAAAGTTTAAAAATATAATTAATACCATGCCTATCGAAAAAAAAAACAGCATAAATAATAGGTTTGAACTATTTTCCTGAACCAAAAATTGTAATTCACAAATTGATTCAGAAAATGGTGCTAATTTAAATGTAATTTCACATGAGAATGTTAATAACACTTCTTAGGTTTTCCTAGTGAAAATCTTGCTTCCCTTAAAATAAGAATGAAATGTTTAGGACTATATTAAAAAAAAAAAAGGTTAAAAGAAAGGAAAAAAAGAAATAAGGTAACAAAAAACTTAATTTTTGCATGGTTGTGCTAAAATTTTGGTGTCTTTAAAATTTTTCTCAGTTAAGATCTTTGCGGTCCTCCTCCCACCAATGAAAACTGATTAAAAGTCTATAGATGTTAGTGGCCCAATCATTATTTTTAGCTTTCTATAAGAAGTTGGAGAAGAAAACACAGATATAAAGCTTTCGATTACATGTACTATATATCAATGTCATTCTATAATGCTTTACACACTTGTAAAATTTTTTTAAAAAGTTTTATTTTATTCATTTATGCACACAAGAATTATAGTGTAGGTCAAAGGTGCAGGGTAGGGGTAGGTGACAAGATTAACTAGAGGCAGAGTGGGGAGCAGAATAGGCAGCTCTGCTGAGGGGAGCAGCAAGCAAGACAGGAGAGGTCAGCTGCACCATGTGGGTTAGGCTCCCTGGTTCCGGACTGAACTCATGCTGCAGTGGCTGGTGATAGCTTGATAGCACTGAAACTTTAACCCCTGGACCATCAGGGAGTCCCTACACCTGTAACTTATATAATGTTATAAATTTGTCTTGTATCAATTAAAAAAAAGAGCTCACTCATTTTTACAAAGGAGTCTTCTATGAACAGAGATTAAGTGTTCAGGGAAAAAGCAGCAGCTCCAGAAAACTAATTTTATGTAAAATCAAGTTTGCTTTTATTTTATTTTATTTTTTTAAAGATTTATCTATTTATGCAGACAGAACCGAGGTACATGCCAGAGTGCAGGAGCGGTGAGGGGATTCACCAGAGGCAGAGTGGGAGCAGAACAGGCTGACTGACAAAGTACACTGCTGAGAAGAGCAGCAAGTGGGTCAGGAGAGATATGCCATGCCATGTAAGTCACCACCCAGGCAGGGGATCAAACTTGTGCTGGGGCAAGCTTTATTGTGCTGCGTTTTAACCCACTGCACCACCAGGGAGGGCCTCAAGTTTGCTTTTAAAAAGAATTTTAACAGTAAATTTTAACTATAGCCTCTTATCCTTTAAACATTATTTCTAGTCCCATATAATGAGCTCTGTTTTTCTTAAAGAAAGAGTAGAAATATTTCTTAAGTGCATTTAGGACACTGTCCCATGTGGTACTACCAATACCACAAGATACATTTAAAAAATCTCAAGAAAAGAAGTTCTGCGATCAAGAGTCTGAGAAAACAGTTTAACAATCACCAAGCATGTTAATATTAAAAGTATTATTAGCAGGCCCTCCCTGGTGGAGCAGCAGGTTAAAGCACAGCACTGAAAAACTAAAGCCACTTGAGCATGAGTTTGATACCCGCTCCGGAGGAGGTGATCCACATGGTGCAGCAGACATCTCCTGACCCGCCCGCTGCTCCCCTCAGCAGTGTACTTCATCAGTCAGCCTGTTCTGCTCCCCACTCTGTCATTGGTGAATCCTCTCACTGCCCCTGCAACTCTGGCCTGTACCCCAGTTCTGTATGCATAAATAAATAAATCTTTTAAAAAAAGTATTATTAGCCTTAATTAAAGGCTCTGAAAATTCTATAAAATTGCTGAACCTTTTGAATTTAGAATATCCCAAATTTGTCAACAATCAAATCCCTCCAACTCTTTACTACTCATACATTTACCATCTTACAAAAACATTATTTTTCCTGTGAAAGACATTCCAGGGCAATGCTGATTTGATGAAATAAGGTTATTCTATTTAATTAATTTCTTTGGAGAGTCTTGTAGAAAATTCTTTAGAATTTGCTTTTAAAGGACCATTTAACATTAAATATTGCCCTAAAATATGTATTTTATTGTTTTAGTATATAAGGTAGAATCATATCTTAAACCACTAAGAATAACTATAAACTAACATATTATATAGTTAGTTAACTGATTATATAGTTTATAATCAGTTCAAAACTTTTTCTAGTTTTCAAGATTAGCAAATGTATGTAAAAGGTTTTACAAATTATTTCATAAGGAAAAAGACAATTAAAAGAAAAATCTGTTCTTGACTTCTTTCATGATTTAGGAATCACTGTAAGTTTTATTCCTTTATATATTAACAAAGACCAATTCTCTTAGGTTATAAGTGCTTTGGAAACAAAGTCTCTAAAAATAAATCTTACCACTGGGCATTCCCATAATAAAGCATCCTCAATTTTTTCTGACTTGGGACATTTTGGCATTTCATAAAGTTTTCTTGGCTGGGATGCAACACTGGGACAAAAAAAAAACAAAAACATTCTTCTTGATTACTGAGTCAGTGTTTGCTCAGGCTTGAGTAATCTTTTTTTCTATTCAGACCTGAAATAACAAAATACAATTTGCTACTTTGCTTTCCTCTTCTTAACTAAATGTTTACAGTTTTTTCTAATCACAAAATTTGTAATACACGTTCACAGAAAAAAATCTGAAGAAAAGGATATAGTTAACGATAGATTGTTATAAATCTAACAAAAATAACCATTAGTAACATTTTATTGATTTCCCTCTAGTTTTTCTTTATACAATACATATCTATCTGATCTATCTGCAGATTATTTTCCCTAACTGAATCATATCAAATTCTTTCTTTACCTTTAATATTCACTATATACATGTATCTGTTGAATTTCAAGGCTTTCCTAAACTGTTATTTCAGAGACTTTGTACTGGAACTAAACTAAACATTAGCTAAAAAGAGCCCCATTATTTTAGAGTAAAAATTGGTGGATAAAAAAGGTTTTTGTTTCTCCTAAATGACCTTTCAGAAAGTCTGAGTAAGTTTATATTATTGCTAATACTGAAGATCACATTTTTTAATGTGAAAAGTCTCTTACCTTTAATTTATACTTCTTTGCTTGCTACAGAGATGTGATCATATATGGTTTCATTTTTTAAACTGATGAACTTTAATATGAGCAACTATTTAGAAAAAACTTTCATGGTGACAAAGGTTGAAACCAAGCAGAATTTCACAGGCATGAAAGCAAGCTGTTATGTGATTCTAACCTATGGGTAAAACATACCTCAAGGGTATATTAAAGAACTTCCAAAATATTTACCATTAATTTACCAATCAATGCCACTTACTCTGATTTTTAAAAAAAAATTAATTGAAACAGAGATCTCTAAATTGGGAAAGTTAACAAGTAGGCATTAAGTAAGTCCTTAGTCTCTTCTCAGGTAATGAGTGCATTTCACCAGAGCATGGAGAAGTTCCAGTCTCAGAGTACTCTCAAAACTAATGGAGATTGTGGTAAAAAGGCAAGTGGGAAGAGAATGGTAGATTCACTGTGCATGACAGTAAACTGTAGGTTGGTTAACTGGCCAAAAACAACAAGAGAAAAAGACTGCTGGGAGGAACCTCTTGCTGCCGCCAAAGTTGGAGAGTTGGATACCAACAGATGACAGCTTTCCTGAAGCATAAATCCAGGAGTAAGTCACTGGTGTTAATAATGGGGAGACAAAACACTAGAGGAAATTTTAGCCTCTGACACCTACAGCTAAGATCAACAACAAAATCAGCCTAACTCCTAGACAAATAAATATAAAACCTCACCTAAAAGCTTATTTACTGTAGTTTCTTTTATCCAGTACATTACATTTTTTCAACAACAGAAAAATTACAAAAATAATTTTACCCAGTATATAACAAATCATCAACAAAAAATTAAAAGGCATAACAAAATGCAAAATACAAAGTTTGAAGAGACTTTGTACTGGAACTAAACTAAAAAGTGGTAGAAATTTTGGAATTATCAAATTGAGAATTTAAAATAACTATGACTAATAAGCTAATGGCTCTGGTAGAAGAAGTAGACAACATGCAAGAACAAATGTGTAATTAAGCAAAGAGATAAAAAACACTAATAAAAATAGAAAAATAAGTGCTAGAATCAACATGTACTACCACAAATGAGTAGTGTCTCTGATGGGGTCATAAATAGATTGAACACAGTTGAGGAAAGAATGACTTTAATGGTATGTTAACAGAAACTTCCCAAGCTAGGAAGGTAAAAGAATGAAAAAAGTAGAATACTCAAGAATTGTGGGACAATGAGAAAAGATGTAATGTATGCATAATGAGAACACCTGAAGGAGAAGATAGAGACAAAACAGAATACCTGAAGTAACAGTGGCTGAGACTTTTCCAAAATTAATGATAGACACGATACCACAAATTCAGGAAGCTTGATAAAATACCAAAGAGGATAAATACCAAAAATTCTATACCTAGGCACATAATATTCTAACTGTAGAAAATAAACACAAAGAGAGTGCCATGAAGTAAGTCAAAGGAAAGCAAGCACCTTACCTATTGAGAAATAGCATAAACATTTCACTGGACTTCTCTTCAGAGATGATGCAAGTAGAGTAGATTAAAATACTTTAAGTGATTTAAGAAGAAAACCTCACCAACCTAGAATTCTGGATCCTAAAAACTTATCCCTAATAAGTCAAGGAAAAGGATGTAAGAATTTCTAAAACAAAAACTGAGGAAATGTATACCCAGTAGACCTGCTTTACAAGAAATGTTCAAAATTCTTCATAGAGAAGAAAAATGATTCAGGCCAGAAACTTAGACTACCTACAAATGAAGTGAGTTAGAGAAGGAATAAAACTATAGTGTAAAAAAATATTTTTTTTCTTTTTTCTAAGAAGAGTATTTACCAGATCTGTTCATGATCATAACATTAAGAGGTATTCAGTGATTATAGCTTATGGATAGTAAAAAAAGCAACAGTAATGTTATAAAAGATAGGGGGAGTTATAACTATTATATAAGGTAACTGCTCCAGAAGGTATTGTGTTGCTTAGATTAGTTGTAAGTGTATGTTGCAATCTCTAAGGCAACTACTAAAACACTTTAAAAAGAGGTATAACTGACATACTGAGACAGAAAGAAAATGAAACCATAACAATTCTTGATTAAAAATAGAAAACGAAGCAAAGACAATCAATAGAAAGTAGGTACAAATATGGTATTAAACCAACTATATCATTAATCATTTTAAAAGAGAATAGTCTAACACACCTACTGGAGACTCTCAGAATGGATAAAAACATAACACAAAAAAGCAAATGTATAAGACCTTTAAATACAAAGATACAAATTAAATGGGATGGAGAGCAATATGCTATGCAACCACTAATTGAAAAACTGCTAGAATAGTTATATTAACTTCAGACAAAGCAAATTTCAACAAGGAAATTATCAGGGATAGAGAAAGTAGTAATATAGGTGCGTGTCACTTGAAGATGTTTCAGCCAAAGAAAGCTTATACAACAGTGATTCCAATAAAGCTCTGAAGCCTAGGTGTGTATAGGCTAGATCACTAGATTTGTGTAATTAGACTGTGAGGTTTGCACAATAATGAAATCATCGAATGATGCGTTGTTCAGAAGGTATCCCTGTCATCAAACAATGAGTGACTGTACATGATAAAGGGATCATGTCAAGAATACATAAAAATCCTTAATGTGTATGTATCTAATAATAAAGTGTCAAAATGCTTACAGAACACAAATTGAATCTACTTTTATAATTGGAAACTTAAAAATAACTTCTGTCACTGACTGACAGTTCCAGTAAGCAGGAAGTCAGTATGGATATACACTTGAACAGTGCTATCAATCAACTGGATCTAATTGACATTTATAGAATACTGCATCCAACAACATTCTTCTCAACTGCACATGAATCATTCACAAAGACAGACCATAATTTGGGCCATGAAAATACACCTTAATATTTAAGATTGGAAATAAGGCAAAATGTACTCTCAGACCACAATGGAATTAAACTAGCAGTCAGTAACAGAAAAGATGCTGGAAAAAAATCCCTAAATATTTGGAGATTTAGCAACATACTTCTAGTTAACACATGAGTGAAAAAGACTCACGAGAAATTTTAAATTAATATACAGCCCAATATTTGTGGGCTGCAACAAAAACAATGCTTAGAGGGACATGTTTAACATTTAATGTATTTATTTGAAAAGGAGGGAAATTTCTAGATTGGTGAACACATGGACATTCAGTGACAGGAGCAGGCTCAGAGAGCATGGAAGCTCTGTGCCCCATCCCACATACCTTGCTTTATGTATCTCTTTTATCTGGTTATTTCTGAACTAAACCCTTTTATAATAAACTGGTAATCTACTAAAAAAGTTACAAAGGCCAGTAATATATGTATTCAAGTTATATGAAATGTTCATAATAGGTGTCTCTATAGAAAGTAGAGGCAGAAATTAAACTAGCAGTTAACTGTTCAAAGCTGAGAATAATGGAGGAATTGGGCAAAGGATATATATAGCATTTCTCTTTGAGGGATGAAGATGTCTTAAAATTAACTGCAGTGATGGCTGCCTATATGAACCCACTAATGGCTCATCAAATTCATATTCAGAAAATTAAAAATCACTGAATTATGCATTTAAAATGGGTGAATTGTATGGTATGTGAATTATAACTTAAAACTTTAAAAAAAGAAAAAAATGTTCATTTTTTAGAGATGTAAACTTAAGTATGGCATGATGTTTGAAATAGTCTTAAATGAGGGTGTAGGGGCCTGGAGAGTAAGGCAAAGGTGTCAAATTCCTGATAGATTTTGAATCTAAGTAACCAGTATATGGGAACTCATTATACTATTTGCTACTTGAGCAAGTTTAATATTTTTCCTCTAAAAACAGATAAGTACTTCCAAAGCAAAACATGGAAATTCTATTCTAAAGCAATCTAAATATCAGACAGTTGGTTCTTGTGACTCTGGTATATCTTTTAAGTAGAATAAAAATTTCATACAGTACTTTGGACAATCTATCATTTTGCCTATACCATAGTTTTGCTTTAAACGGGTATTTACAAAGATGAAACCTGCAACTTCAGATTTAACAAGATTCAGAAATTACACCTACTCTTATCTTGAACCCATTTTTCAATTTATTTCACTTAACTCTAGTATAGGCATGTGGCGCTATAAAAATTGAGGTAAAATCAACATCAAAGTGAATTGCAGCAAAAAAAAATTTCACCAAAAAGATACCTGCTGACACAGCACCGATAATTGTCAAAATATATTCTTCCTCTCTCATAGGCTATAGGTGACTTGGAATGAGTAGTCCAAACATTCTTAAATTTAGTACTTTCCTGAAAAACACAAGGAATTTAAGTTTAGCAAATATCTCATAAGCCTCTACTGTACACCATTTAAGTTAGATAGTTAAATATACAATTTTCCAAGAAACTTTCATGTTATTTACACTAATTCTTCCCCGCTATTGCTCACATTTAGTTTAAGTGGGGTGGATCAACTTTTAGAACTAAGATGGTTTGCAATAAGGTATCTTAAAACTAAAAACATCTGGCGGTCCTATTAATACCGATCTACTAATATCTCAGTTTCAAAGCAAGGATTCATATACCCCACCCCCACCCCACACACCCCGTGAGACCTTAACAGGGGGTTCTATCGCAGAAAAACTGCGCCCCAGCAGCAAGCTGGACCGCCAGGCACCTCGCTGCCCTTCGCCTCACGCCTGGCGGTCACCTGGCAGACAAGGGCGCGCAGGATGCCCAGGTTCGTCCTCTGCACCACGCCTGCATCGCGCGTGAAGAAGCCCTGTGCCCGGCGACTCAGCTGGTGGCATACATTGGGCTTCCGGGTTGGGCCCATGGAGCTGCTGGCCGGGTGCCCGGTTGGCCGTGCCGAAGAGGGGCGCGCCCCTAACTCTTGCGCGGGACAACGGCCACTATCTTGGAACCTCTAGAAAAAAACAACACGGGGAGCAGAACAGAAGGCGCACGGCTTAGAGGATAGGGCGGGCGCCGCGTAAGCGTGGAAAAGAAGGGAGGGAAAGACGCCACCGCTTTGGACCCGGCTGCAAAATAGCGTGACGCCCCCGTAAGGCGCGGCCTGCCACAGCCTCTCCCTCACCGGGAAATGTAGTTCCCAATGCCCTCTAAGGGAAGGAGGCTTGTTGCCAGAACTACAATTCCCAGCAGGCAGTGGGGCATGCGTTCTTGCCCCCCTCCACTCACGCCTCCAACACCCCCGAAGCCCCGCCCCCGACCGGATGGAGGCTGCGCAGTTGGGGTGGATGTGTCTTTCCGGGTTTGAACGCGCGTGGGAGAAACTTGGGGGCGCTGTGCAACTGTCTTCTGCTCCAGATTGCTTGTGTGCTCCCTGCACTGGGGCATTGGTCCCTTGCCACCCCGATGTTCCCACGCTTCTCAACCCTCGAATTTCTGAGAGGCCCTGACCAGTTGCCTAGAGGGTCGCTGTAGCGGGCGCGACCCTACCGAACCCGCGTTTGTGGTAAAGGTACGCCCCGCGGCTTTGTCTTCAGTCGCACGTAGTACTTTGTGTATCAAGTTGACAGTTAAACATTTGGGGTCTCACTATCTTTTGTTTCAAGAGTTGATGGGGGGAGATGCTGGCTCCCTCATCAAACTAGGATTGAATTATTCTTTCCCGAGGAACTCCCTTCTGTGGCCTGAAAAGACTGGTTTTTCGATGATTGCATTTTCCTTCCCCCTGCCTCCTTTTCCACCCTTCTCGGTATAAGGATACAATACGAAATTTATATTCTTACTGCACGGCCCAAGATAAACCACGTAGATTCCTTGAAGTAAAAGAACTTTGTTGACTACCTGGCCTCTAGGGTCAAAGTTCCCTGCGTACCACCGTTTGAGTAATTGCACCAGGTATGTGCCATCGCTTTGTTAAAAGTCTCTTGAGGGTGGTGTCTACATCTTCCACTTGGGTTTGATTTGTTCATAAGTGCACAAGAGCATTATCACATTTGACTGACAGAATTAAAAGTGTAATAACTAGGTGAGTGCTCCGGGTCACAATTTTAAGTGTTAAGTAAAATTTTGCCGTATCTGTTTTTAACCCTACTGAATTTCCTTCAGGGCCTTGCATTTTGTTGATTTTTTTGTGACTTATTTTCAGCATGTGTGGAGTGCTTTGTATATTTTTAGAGAGCACTATAATAGTTAATTTGGTAATTCATGAATGCAGCTGTCACTGAGAAAACGAAATCCAGAAAAGATAACTGGATTTTCTTTGACTGAAATGAAATTCAAATCTTTGCTGAATTGAACTCATCATCTCTATTCTCCTTCCTCTTTACCCCCATTTTTTGTCTTCCTGTGGTCTTTATCTCACCACCAAGTCACCCGGGGTTCGTCATCCATCTAGATGCCCTTCTTTCCCCCACACAACCAAGTCCTTTTGATTCTCGATTATCCTTGTCTCCTCCATATCCCCTGCATAATTTAGGGCCTCACCATTTTATCACATTATTATATTAAATAACTTCCTTTTTGCTTTATTTGAATACTTTCATTCCAACCCTCCACACTGCTACCAGAGTAATTTTTTTCTAGAGCACAAAACTGTCATTTCCTTATTAAAATCTTTCAGTGGCTCCCAGTCATGCACAGCAGAATATCTTAAATCCAGGTAGATACCCAGGGTCCTCTGTTAATATTTTCAGTATGTTAAAGATACATAAACATAAACTACAAACCCCCCAGGTTGTATCTTTTATACAACTGTAACATTCATTTATATTTTAAGGAGCAAAACTATAAAACCAGTAGATTCAAATGAGACTATTTTTATTGGATTCTACATTATTTTCATTTTTCAACCTGATAATTTAAAAGCAAAAGCATGGTTACTGCTTTTGGTAGTCTTAATTTTTTTATAGAAAGGCCTGCCCATTTTGTCCTTTTTGAGAGATTATTCAGTCGTCTCATTTCTTTACTTAAGCCACTGCAAAATCTTCCTTTCTCTGTGTCTCATGATTTCACTTAGCTTCCTTGACAAATGATATTATTACATAATGTTGTCTCTACTTTTTTTTTGCTAATGCACACCTAAATACAAATATGTGAACTGAAATATTGTGATAGTAATCAATTAAGATGTGGTCATTGAAATGATACTGAGTACACTTCTGTTAATTTTTTAAGAGTTTTAAAATTGAATAATAATAATTAATTTTCTTCCAAAGAAATTTCATAACCTTGAAGTAACATGTAAGAATCCCTAAGAATCTTTATAGTTGTTTTATAGGACAGAATCTGAATTCCTTAGAGTAGTATACAGAGGACTTTATTATCTGTATCTTGCCCACATTTTCAAACTCATCTCTTTTTCCTTTATATTTGATCTGTAGTGCTGACATGATGCCCACTTACTCAATTCAGTGTGTCTTTACACTTCGTATTTTTCTTGTCTGGAGTTCTCCTCATTTCTTTTTCTTATTTAGCTCAAGACATTCCCCTTCAATCTTTCCACCTTTGTCATAGCCTTTTGTCATCTAACATGTTACTCTGGAGACAAATGTAGCCTATATTAGAATTTTCATTAGTCTGTCTTCCCTATGTATTGATTTTATAATCGTCCATTCATCCAACATATATGTGCATTAACTACATTTTGGGAAATGTATGAAAGATGTATATGTATGTTGAATGGACTTCTCTAGACAAGATGTTTGTATAGAATTTATTATTAGCAACTAAGAACATTTAACGTAGATGCAAATTGTCTCCCTTTAATCTTTAAATCAATAGGGATCTATAATAATAAAAGGACAACCTACAAAAAACTTAAATCCTTAATGGCTTTACCTATAAAGTAGAGTTTCTATTTGTTCAAGATGCAGTGATATGAACAGATTTTCCCAATTTAGGATTTGGAGATGACTTCTCAACTTGGGACATTCATTTTTTTTTCCCCTTCAATTTTTGTCTTTGTCACGCTTACAGAATACTTAACTATCTTTGTCATGCTATTTTTAAAGTGAGGAAGAGGAGACATGAATTCAGTAATTGTTTTTTGTTTAAAGAAGCATAGTATAGCTGAATAAATAAATGTGTGAAACACTCACATTTCTAAACTGAAACATTTGTTCAGAGGTAGATTTGAACCAAGCTCACAAGAGGTCGTTTGTTCAACATGTAATTATTTTCATGTACAATGTGCTGACAACTATTTTGGCGGAAGGCATGGCGGTGAACAGTATAGTCAAGATTCCTAAATGACAATAAATACATATATTAGACATAAGACTCAGAAAATAATTGGCATGAAGAAGTTAAAACGGTGATTTGCAAGATAGCGCATGTTTGGGGGTAGAAGCTTAGCCAGAGTTAGTTAAAAAGCCTCTCTGAAGAGTGGACTTTGAGCAATCTCTGAATGATGAGAATAAGTTGAATTGCAAAAAACAAAGGTTAATAGTCCAGGATGCTCAAATGAAGCATCCGTAAGGCAGTAACAACCCTAGCTTATTCTAAAACTGTCAGACAGTATGGTGACTGTCTAGGGGGAGGAGGGCAGGAGTGACAACAAGGATACAAGTGGCTGTTGCATTCATTGGTTCAGGTTAAGAGATAATAATATTTGGATTAGCCTTGTAGCAAGAGAGATGGCAAGAAGTCAACAGATTCAAGATATAGTTTGGAAGTAGTCGTGATAGGACTTCTGATGTTATAGATATTTAGGATGAAGAAATGATTCAAGTGAAAGTATAGTAAAACAGAACACAAGTTAACACTCCCAAACTCACTAGAACAAGTGGAAAATAGGGATTACTCATCATGCAGTGTCAATGAAATGTCTAGATTGTATTACATGTACACATTAGCATTATAAACTTTAATGCTAAGGACTTGGAATTGGTTCTGAGCTGGGACAGGAGAGAAGAGGAGAAGTTCTAGAAGTAGGCAGCATTTGGAACATGTGGGACCATGGTGCTGTGATGGAAAAATTACTAGAGATAGTTGTGTGTAGCATTAAAAATAAAGTGAAATAGGGAGTCCAGTTAGCAGGTAATTGTAGTAATTCAGTCTAGATATGTAATATATTCATGTATGTGTACAATCCAAAAAGATTTAGGTTTAAATGATAAATGGTAAAGTTTGAAAATTATTCATCTTATGTTAAAAAATATTTATTCAAAGAGGTCTGCCGTGCCATGTGGATCACCTCCGGGGCCAGCAGGGATGGAACTCATGCTAAAGTGGCTTTAGCTTCTTAGAGCTGTGCTTTAACTCGCTGCACCACCAGAGAGGGCCTGTAAATGATACAGTTTTAAAGTAAATTTTCTAACTGTATTTTTGCTGGTATTGAAAAATCCAGTGGTCTTTTTATATATTGATATTTTATTTAACAATTTTACCAAGCTTTTTTTCTTTAATAGTAATAGTTGTCATTGTAGAGCTTGGGGGGTTTTTCTAGTGGGTAATATTATAGGTTTTAGGTAGTTACCCTTTATCAGGTTAATAAATTTTTCTTTTGTCCCATATTTGCTTCAAGTTTTATTTATTTGATTTAAATCACAAGTGGGTATTGTATTTTGTTAAATACTGTTTCTGTACCTGAAGTGATCATAATTTTCCCTTTTATCTGAAAATGCCATAAATTATATAAGCATATTTTCTAATGTTAGAGCAAACTTGAGTTTATTTAGATAAACTTTTGTGATGTGTTTTTGTGTTCTAACTATTGTGGGATTTGGACAGCTGCTGGCATCAGTACTCCCTCAATTCTCTGGTCTCTGAGGCTTTCTCTTTTATTTTCTGGCTCAGAAATTTTTTTTTAAAATGTATTTATTCAATCTTTTGGGAGTGTTTTATGGCAGAAAGATTTCTGAAATATCGGGTTCACCAAATTATCAGTACTAGAGTTCTACTCTACCATATTTTTAGTGTAAAAGCTTCCATTAATGCAATGTATAACCGTCTTGTCTTTTAGTTTTCTTGTCTCTGCAAAACCACTCCTCTCTCCTGAGAATAGGAAAGCAGAATTGTTTAGTGGAAAGAACATCATTCCAGGAGTCAAAGGCATGAGTTGTAGTGCTAGTACTACCACTTAATGAGAGCTTGACCAAGCCACTTATTCTAAATTTCATTCAGGCATCTAAGAGGGAACACTCAGGATTGAAGTGAAAATCATGAGTTTATAACTATGAACATGTTGTTGTAAGAGGAAAGAATGAGATGCAGTGATGTAGAATACAATCTTTGTTAGGAAATGTGACAGAAATTGGGAATTTGGGGAGGGGATAGAGTTGATTAGGTAGCACAAAGGACTTTTTTTTTTTAAAGCATGGTGAAACTGTTTCATATGCTATTTTAATGGTGGATACTGACAGCATACACAAAGAGTAAACCTAAATGTATGCAAATTTTAAAAAATTTTGAAGGGAAGGATTCCAAGATGGAATACAGACTGCAACAAAAGAAGCTAACTATTACAGCTGTGTGCAGTGACCTCAATGAAATGGCCAGGTAAAAGGTGCTGACCTACGTAACTTTGAAAATGAAACTGTAAGACTAAGGGCATTAGGAGTTGTATGTAAGCACAGTACTCTGGTTGATAAAATTTCCCATAAAGATATGGGTTGACACTTTTGAAACCGTGTACGGGTGTACTAGAATTGAAAAACTAATTAGTGAATGGTGGATGATTAGAACCAGGTATCTTACTGTTGGAGTGAGAGGTAATGGCCAAGCAAGAAGGAATGTTTAGAATAATCCATGTGTTGATATATTTGAGTTGGAGACATTAGTATAAAATCTAGTTTAGCTTACTATAGAACAAGTGGATATGTAGAGAAACAATTACGAAGATAGGGATATGTGCATGGTTTAGTATACCCACATATCTTTCCTTGGTTTGTCAGTTT